AAAGAAAAAACGCTATTAAAGATATTTCTACATCTACTGAGTCAAGCAGTTATTTCAACAGTTGGACAGTGATTTCCAGGGGTCTGTTAGATCTGAGATACAAGCTCACACACAGGGGATGGAAGAAATTAAGAACAAGGATTACCCAAGACAGAATTTTAGCTACAAGACATTTTTAGATTTTAATATAGCAAATGCTTACTACATTTATTATTTCTTCCAGCCAGAACAAACAGATAAGTTTTTCTTGTAACCATATGAAAGCACACTGATAAGCTTCCCGAAGCTCTTCCTAATGATAACAATTAGATGAGAACTGTGTGGTTAATGACAAATGTTCTGTTCTTTCTTCTGTTCACGTTGTTTCCTACCCCTGTACCTCACACACCCACTCAGAAGTCTCTCTGCAGCTTTGGTCTCTCTCCTCAGCCCCTACTTCGAGAGGAGAGACACAAGCTACCCCCTGCCCTCCAGCTTCACACTGCATTTGCCACTCTCAGGCAGCTCCAACGTAGCCCACCCAGGCCTGTTCCCCCTGCTCTACAGCCACCTTTTTCAGACTCACTGAGGAGGGAGAAATCAAGGCAGGGAGATATTCTTGAATCCAAGTCCCCTCTCTTGCAGCAATAATTAAATACATGCTAAACTCAACAAAACAGATGTCAATCACTTTTGATATTTCAAGAAATCCATTCCTCTTTCATAGTCAACTGATGAAACCTGAAATGATGGCTGCAACAACAGCTGTCAGTTTTAAAGTTCTTCTGATGTAAAACGCATTGACACCCTCCCTAGAATTAAAAAGGAAAAAAAAAACCTGCCAAAAAAAATATTTGTTTTTTCACTCTTGGATGAGCACAGAAATAAAAGCTTCTGTTTTCTTGAGCAACTGTAACTAAGGCATAAATTCCTTTATATTTATTCGCTGCACAAATAATTTTACTATATCCTTGGAAAGCTCTATTTTCTGAATTAATTTTCTTGTTCAATTCTTCAGCTTCCCCATGCATGCCTCTGCTTCCCCCACCCCTTCCTTTCCACTTTTAACTGAAATGCAATTTTGTTGCCAGGTTTAACCACAACTTTACACGACAGGTCTACAGAGGCAGCTCCAACACAGCCCAGGCGCCAGGTACAGGGTGCTGTAAGTTCTGTGAACGTGAGCAGTCAGTAAGATGTGTAAGAAACGAAAGAAATAAAGCCAGACAGGAGTACAAAAGAACCAAAGAAACCCTATTGTACTGAAACTCAACACACCAGAAGATGGATGGATAGCTGTCAAGCTTCTCATGGGTATACAAAAAGCCATGGTTTTGCAGACAGCATTACAATAAAACTAGATGTTTACAATGGTGAATGGCAATATGGGTGAAAGCAAAAGGGTTCATTTGTGGGTGCTTACCTAGCAGTTAGCATTGGCTAATGCCAGCTTTTGTTAAGAGAAGCAGACAACACACTTGCTCTAGACATGATCAACAGGCACAAACTACAGAAGTCCTTAAGAGCTCAGACCTTATGGAAGATGCAAAGAGATCAGAGCAGTGGAAAGATTTTAAAACCAGTATAGACACAGGCTGGGGGAATGAATGGACTGAGAGCAGCTCTGTGGAGGACGACTCAGGTGTACTTGTGGATGCAAAACCGGACATAAGCCAGCAATGTGCATCTGCAGCCCCAGAAAGTCAACTGTATCCTGGGCTGCAAGAAAAGAAGTGTGGTCAGCAGGTCATGGGATGTGATCCTGTCCCTCTACTCTGCTCTCGTGAGATGCCACTTGGAGTACTGCGTTCAGCTCTGGAGTCCTCAGCACAGGAAAGACATGGGGATACAAGGTCACAAAAATGATCAGAGGGATAGAGCACCTCTCCTATGAGGAAAGGTTGAGAGAGTTGGGGTTGCTTGGCCTGGAGAAGAAAAGGCTCTGGGGAGACCTTACCGCAATCTTCCAGTACTTAAATGGACTTATAAGATGGGGACGGACATTTTAGTACAGCCCATAGTGTTAGGACAAAGGGTATTAATTTTAAACTAAAAAAGCATAGATTCAGACTAGATATAAGGAAGACATTTTTTACAATGGAACAGGCTGCCCGGAGAAGTGGTAGAGGCTCCATGCCTGGAAACGTTCAGGATCAGGTTGGACGGGGCTCCGAGCAACCTCGTCTAGCTAAAGATGTCCCTGCTCATTGCATGAGGATTGGACTAGATGACCTTTACAGGCCCCTTCCAGCCCAAACTATTTATAATTCTATGGAAACAAAGGGAAGGGTGATGCAATCCAAGTAGCAGACAAGCAAAGTACCCATACAGATTCTGGGTAAAAGCAGAGCAATACTGCACCTTACAGCCAGAAATGAGACTACAAAAGTCAGAAGAGGATGTACAGAGTGTAAGTTACACCCTTCTGTTCAAGAACTTTGGAGATAATACACAGACCATAGCATCAAGACCTAGACATAGCCTAGACGTGAAAGCTTGGGGGGAAAGAGGGGTCATGCATAGAAGTCAGCGATGATGCCCAGGTACAGAACTTGAGCAACAGGCTCAATCTTATACGTAGGGAGTTTGCCATTTCTAACGGATGTCAGACCCACAGAACCACTTCAGACACCAACACGTATTCGACATACTCCCCTGTTCTTTTTATTCATATCTTTTTATTCCTAAAAGCGAATGTGTTCTTCCACAGTTTATCCCCCTACATTTTTACATATACCTTTGTCCTTTCATGTTGCAACCAGGATTGTTCTGGCCCTTCTTCTGACAGGTGGAGGAATACAGAAAGTCAAAACATGAGCTCTTGCAGTGACAAATTAGATTCAGGTACATTGCTGCAAAGTAAATTCTGACAACAGAAAACAACCCCTGAGCAAGCCAAAAGCAGACAAAAGGGTGGGAAAGGCGCAGAAAATACACATTAGACAACAGCTGCTGGGTGGAAATGAATAGTCAAGGGTAGACACTAATCTTGCTTCTGACTATATCAAGTATTCTGTAACATGTTTCTTTTTCTTTCCTTCACATTCCAGTTCTACCACAGGAAATCTACACACTAAACAAATGACAGGTTTGCAGCATTTAATTCTATTCACTTCAATCAATCCATCTGGGGATGATCTAATCTAAGCTAATGACCATCCAAATAGAAAGTTCCTCTCCTTTTATCCCATTTTCTAGGTTCTTGGCTCACAGCTACAAGCTCTTCCCTAATCTTAACCACAGCTTTGGGGCTCAGTGGACTTAATCAGAAAAAGGTTCAACCTATTATCTGAATGGCAAACTAAACCAAAAAAACCAGAATATTTTCCTTCCAGGTTAGTGATTGGAAGTGGCTTACCCACTACTGGTACTGCAGTGGAGGAACCACATAGCAAACAGCTGGGAAAAGCAAGGCTTTTCATTTCACTGATGATGGGCTCTTTCTTTTCACAGGACTTGCTGTCTGAAGGGATAATTCAACTGAGAAAGCAGAACTCCAGTTCCTTCCACCTTCCTCCCGATGGCTTACTGCTCCCTAGCCAGTACCAGCACTGCTTGTCACAAGAGCCGCAGAACTCACTGCGGCAGAGGAACACCCTGCTCCCACTTGCAGGTCTTCCCTACCCTGTTATGAGCCAGAGCTGCAGGTTCATCTCACGTGGAACCATGGAACTTGCATATCTACTTTAAACTTCATGGTTTGAAGCCACCAACTACTTCAGACTTACCATACTCTTTATGCTACTGTATTAATTTCCTAGTCATATTTATGACTGCAAATACCCTCTTCCCTATCAAGGAACTACAGAATAATCAAAAAGCTTCTAGTGGAGGGATGTCAGTTTTAACTTAGATACAAACAAGTAACAAATGACTGTAATGAACCAACAACTTCACTACTTAAAATCCAAACTTAGTAGAGATGAAGCTCATTATTACTGTAATTTGATACTCAATCTAACGAAACCAACATGAATGTGGCAATATTAACTCCAGACATACAGAATGAACAGGTTCACATAAAAACAGACATGTGCCTATATAGCACTGAGTGGTTAAAATAGCGATCAGCACTCATTCAATACTTCCATTTCACATTAGCAATAAGTAAAGCAACCATGGAGGGCCTCATTTGACCTCAACTGTTAAGGACATTATGTCAACATTTGTATAATCAAGCTAGTGCCCTGCTCTGACATATTAAGATAAAAGCTAGAAGTACCTCAAATAATGAGATCTTTATTTTTAATTACCCAGTGCCTTTAGGCAGCAATTCCAATTAAAAAGACTACAAAAGAAATCTGGTTGACCTCCAGTTATTTCAATACTTGAGAGAACCAAGAAAAGGACAGGGTTTGGAGCAAGTGAAATCCATTCAATTCCTAATAGATATAACTTATGCACATAGTCTTTTTTTATGCTCTTAATGGTCCTATGCCAATACAACTTCATGAATCTGGAGTGATAAAAGAATAGAGAAATTTAATTTTTACTTAGTTTACAAATTAAACACAGCTTAAAAATATTACTCCACCCTACAATTTTATGTATTCCTTAAAGAAGTTGCCTTCTACTTATATAATTTTTTTAATTCTACAGGGTTGTTTTTCAAAGAGAAAAAGGGCAGTCAACTGCTTTAAAGGCAATGTTAGTTTTATAAAGATATTTTCATGCGTATATATTTGCTTTTAACAACAGAGCATGTCTTCTTCCATTATATACACACAAACTTTCCCCAGCTCTGCACCTAGAAAAGATGCTCTACATGTCAGTTGCATCAACGCACCTATTAGACCATGCCACTGATCTTCCCCTACTGATGTGTACCAGGAATCCCATACAGTTCCTTTCTATTTCCAGGGAAAG